TTGAATGCTCTCTGACCGTACACTTTTTTAATGTTTTTAAAAATGTTTTCGGAAAACATTCCGCTTGATCATTCTTCAGCCATTAGAGGAACGCTACTTGTGTTCTGAAACAAGCAACATTTAAACAAACGCTAAACAAACATCCAAACACTGTATTAATAATCTTTTGTGCTAATGTTGTGAGAACACTATTAAAGAACAGATGACGACCGTTATATTAATGTTACTGTAGAATGGTTGATCATAACTGTGAGCCTGAGCGACAGATTACTATCATATTAATGATCCTACAAATTATGTTTTGAGATATATTGTGATTATTGAGCTGAGTGAAGTGGATTATTGAAAAAGAAAACAAATGGATGATGATGATGGATTTTGAGATGTGGGCGTTTGCACTCAAAAAAAAAAAAAAAAAAGGTTATTAAGTATAATTGTGATTCAATTATAATTATAATTTTAAATATTTACGTTTTTATTTTTGTACATTTTACAAAAAATGTACAAAAATACTGCATGTGTGTGTTACTGCACTGCATGTGTGTGTGTTACTGCACTGCATGTGTGTGTTACTGCACTGCATGTGTGTGTGTTACTGCACTGCATGTGTTTGTGTTACTGCACTGTATGTGTGTGTTACTGTACTGTATGTGTGTGTGTTACTGCACTGTATGTGTGTGTTACTGCACTGCATGTGTGTGTTACTGCACTGTATGTGTGTGTGTGTTACTGCATTGTATATGTGTGTGTTACTGCACTGTATATGTGTGTGTTACTGCACTGTATGTGTGTGTTACTGCACTGCACGTGTGTGTGTGTGTGTTACTGCACTGCATGTGTGTGTTACTGCACTGCATGTGTGTGTGTTACTGCACTGCATGTGTGTTACTGGACTGCATGTGTGTGTGTTACTGCACTGCATGTGTGTGTGTGTGTGTGTGTTACTGCACTGTATGTATGTGTTACTGGACTGCATGTGTGTGTGTGTTACTGCACTGCATGTGTGTGTGTTACTGTACTGCACTGAATGTGTGTGTGTTACTGCACTGTATGTGTGTGTGTTACTGCACTGTATGTGTGTTACTGCACTGCATGTGTGTTACTGCACTGCATGTGTGTGTTACTGCACTGTATGTGTGTTACTGCACTGCATGTGTGTGTGTTACTGCACTGCATGTGTGTTACTGCACTGCATGTGTGTGTGTTACTGCACTGCATGTGTGTTACTGCACTGTATGTGTGTGTGTTACTGCACTGCATGTGTGTGTTACTGCACTGTATGTGTGTGTGTTACTGCACTGCATGTGTGTGTTACTGCACTGTATGTGTGTGTGTTACTGCACTGCATGTGTGTGTTACTGCACTGCATGTGTGTGTTACTGCACTGTATGTGTGTGTGTTACTGCACTGTATGTGTGTGTGTTACTGTACTGTATGTGTGTGTTTTACTGTACTGTATGTGTGTGTTACTACACTGTATGTGTGTGTGTTACTGCACTGCATGTGTGTGTGTGTTACTGCACTGTATGTGTGTGTGTGTGTGTGTGTGTGTGTGTTACTGCACTGTATATGTGTGGTACTGCACCGTATATGTGTGTTACTGCACTGTATGTGTGTGTTACTGCACTGCATGTGTGTGTTACTGCACTGCATGTGTGTGTGTTACTGCACTGCATGTGTGTGTGTTACTGCACTGCATGTGTGTTACTGGACTGCATGTGTGTGTGTTACTGCACTGCATGTGTGTGTGTGTTACTGCACTGTATGTATGTGTTACTGGACTGCATGTGTGTGTGTGTTACTGCACTGCATGTGTGTTTGTTACTGTACTGCACTGAATGTGTGTGTGTGTTACTGCACTGTATGTGTGTGTGTTACTGCACTGTATGTGTGTTACTGCACTGCATGTGTGTTACTGCACTGCATGTGTGTGTTACTGCACTGTATGTGTGTTACTGCACTGCATGTGTGTGTGTTACTGCACTGCATGTGTGTGTGTTACTGCACTGCATGTGTGTTACTGCACTGCATGTGTGTTACTGCACTGCATGTGTGTGTTACTGCACTGTATATGTGTGTTACTGCACTGTATGTGTGTGTGTGTTACTGCACTGCATGTGTGTGTTACTGCACTGTATATGTGTGTTACTGCACTGCATGTGTGTGTGTGTTACTGCACTGCATGTGTGTTACTGCACTGTATGTGTGTTACTGCACTGCATGTGTGTGTTACTGCACTGTATGTGTGTGTTACTGCACTGCATGTGTGTGTGTTACTAAACTGCATGTGTGTGTGTTACTGCACTGCATGTGTGTGTTACTGCACTGCATGTGTGTGTTTCTGCACTGCATGTGTGTGTTACTGCACTGCATGTGTGTGTGTTACTGCACTGTATGTGTGTTACTGCACTGCATGTGTGTGTTACTGCACTGTATGTGTGTGTTACTGCACTGCATGTGTGTGTGTTACTAAACTGCATGTGTGTGTGTTACTGCACTGCATGTGTGTGTGTTACTGCACTGTATGTGTGTGTGTGTTACTGCACTGTATGTGTGTGTTACTGCACTGCATGTGTGTGTTACTGCACTGCATGTGTGTGTTACTGCACTGCATGTGTGTGTTACTGCACTGCATGTGTGTGTGTTACTGCACTGCATGTGTTTGTGTTACTGCACTGTATGTGTGTGTTACTGTACTGTATGTGTGTGTGTTACTGCACTGTATGTGTGTGTTACTGCACTGCATGTGTGTGTGTTACTGCACTGCATGTGTGTGTTACTGCACTGCATGTGTGTGTGTTACTGCACTGCATGTGTGTGTGTTACTGCACTGCATGTGTGTGTTACTGCACTGCATGTGTGTGTGTTACTGCACTGCATGTGTGTGTTACTGCACTGCATGTGTGTGTGTTACTGCACTGCATGTGTGTGTGTTACTGCACTGCATGTGTGTGTTACTGCACTGCATGTGTGTGTGTTACTGCACTGCATGTGTGTGTTACTGCACTGCATGTGTGTGTGTTACTGCACTGCATGTGTTTGTGTTACTGCACTGTATGTGTGTGTTACTGTACTGTATGTGTGTGTGTTACTGCACTGTATGTGTGTGTTACTGCACTGCATGTGTGTGTTACTGCACTGTATGTGTGTGTGTGTTACTGCATTGTATATGTGTGTGTTACTGCACTGTATATGTGTGTGTTACTGCACTGTATGTGTGTGTTACTGCACTGCACGTGTGTGTGTGTGTGTGTTACTGCACTGCATGTGTGTGTTACTGCACTGCATGTGTGTGTGTTACTGCACTGTATGTGTGTGTGTTACTGCACTGTATGTGTGTGTTACTGCACTGCATGTGTGTGTTACTGCACTGCATGTGTGTGTGTTACTGCACTGTATGTGTGTGTGTGTGTTACTGCACTGTATGTGTGTTACTGCACTGCATGTGTGTGTGTTACTGCACTGTATGTGTGTGTTACTGCACTGTATGTGTGTGTGTTACTGCACTGTATGTGTGTGTTACTGCACTGCATGTGTGTGTGTGTTACTGCACCAGTGTTAATTTTGTCAGCAAATTTTGATTTAGTTTTAGTCTTAGTCTTTTGACTAAAATGCCATTTAGTTTTAGTCATATTTTAGTCATCTGAATTGTTTTAGTTTTAGTCTAGTTTTAGTCGACGAAATACAATAACATTTTAGTCGACTAAATCTACAGTAGATTTAGTCGACTAAAATATAATGGGTTTAGTTCAATTGTAATGCGTTAATTTAGAATTTCTCTAAAATTTCCAAACCCATATACTCCCGGAGAAAACATCTATTAACCTATTAATATGAATGATTTTTAAGTTTGAACATGCAATACAGATACAGATTTAACTGCTGTTACTTAAAAAATATCTTAAAATGAAATAAAACCACTTTTCCTAAAGTACAACACAGTCTTCTTTACAATGAATGATATATTCATTCCTTATAACTACTTACACATCATTCTTTATTCTTTCAAGCAGACATATTTATTTGTATGAATTAAATATAATTAATCCTTATTAAAGCTATTAACAAACAGTGAATGCTTTTCTCTTTTTCTTTTGTTGCTTGATCAAAATTAAGGACACGGACCGCATTAGGTTTATTGCCACTGTCACTTTAAGACGTCGGATCATGTCCAATGACATGCGGATACAATTGCACTGATGC